TAGATTAGGCTAGAAGAGGTGTAGTACCTTTATCTAATCCACATGCGTGTCCAACTGATGTAGATTAGGCTAGAAGAGGTGTAGTACCTTTATCTAATCCACATGCGTGTCCAACTGATGTAGATTAGTAAGGATAGAAGAGGTGTAGTACCTTTACCTAATCCACATGCGTGTACAACTGATGTAGATTAGGCTAGAAGAGGTGTAGTACCTTTATCTAATCCACATGCGGGTCCAACTGATGTAGATTAGGGTAGAAGAGGTGTAGAACCTTTATCTAATCCACATGCGTGTTTAACTGATGTACATTAATTAGGATAAGTTTTCTAGATGGAAAAATTGTCGTAATGGCCGGAACCTTCATCCTTAATACATCACGCCTTCGTTTGTGTTGATATCGTAGGTGCTGACTTGTGAAGAACTTTGAGGAGCACTTCTAAATAAAACTTATGAAAAAATTAGAATTTAGTGGGTCTTATAGAATGGTTACGCTATTGCTTCCATAGATATTCTATAATACTAGATCGTGCTTCGACACCATGATCTGTCTGATTCTCTGGAGCTAATGACGTGTGTTTTTCATTCTAACAAAATGCCAAGTTGTGCGACCTACAATTGTACGAGCTGTACAACTGCTTTTCGCTCATCAGGGAAAATCGTGACAACTATTGAGAAAAATATAAACTTTAATACATTAAAAGACTTGTTTGTTGAATTTCACACAAAGCTACGTCGAGGATAATCTGCGCTAACCATTCCTAACTTAGAAGTGATAGACGAGAGGGAAAGCAGCTACTCAACACTATCCATCGCCAACTGTTTGACTACTCTTTACCAACTAAAGTTTATATTGACCGTCACATTATAACGTCCTATGAAAGGGCGAGCATGTTCTATGATGGATTTGAACCCGTAACCCACAGATTTCGAATCGAATACCCTAACCCCTAGACCATCCCAGGCCTTATAGTAAAGTCATTGAAAATATTAGTGTACAAGATAATAGAAGTCTTCCAAACTTAAATATTCCAAGTTAAATACTGAAAGATTAAAGTAAGTATGTATTTAATAGTAAAACAGAACAAATCTCGTTGAATTTCGATGGCAGGTAGTTAAAAAAAAGTTCTTGCCTAGCACTCAAGATGAGGTTGTATGTTAACAATACTTGACAGGCAGAGACAGATATCAAGCTGGGACCACACATTATCTTAGAATCACAACCTGACACATTATGATTTAACTGGTGTTCTCTTTGGGATTTTCTTCCCTGTTGCTTAGTAAATGTCACATACTGGTAAGACTACTTTGTATTTATTAAGATTTTTTTGTTCTTTTCTACCTTTAATTTCACATAATAGTAACAGATATGTTTCGGAACTTTCACTGGTTTTTTTCAGATCAAACGCCATTCTGTTAAGCTCTGAAGAGATGTTCGATGACGAGGAACCCACTTTGAGACTAATAATGGCTGGAGACGGCTTGAATGGGTAATGAAAAAAACTTTAATATAAGTTTAACATAACAGCAAATGTACAACGTTTCGACAATACTTTGTCATCATCATCATCAACAAATAATCCATTCAAGCCGTCTCCAAGCATTATTAGTCTCAAAGTGGGTTCCTCGTCATCAAATTTGAATTCATCACATGTGAAGTGAGACTGATGTCATATAGTTTCCATATGTGTTTTCACTGCTGTTGAAATATGTTAATTGCTGGAATGAGTTTTTATAACAAACTAAAGCAGTTACTCAAAGACTTTGAAGTCAGTAACTTAACTGTGTAGCTACTTTTAGTTGATAATTCATCCTTCACTCAGTGGAGAGATTAAAAATCAGGAGTAAAATTTATGTAAAGTATAAATGTGTTTTCTTTTGGCCTTGAGTAATAGGAATCAAACATCCACAAAGTTCGAATACTTTTCCCTGTATCTCAGTTAAACAGCACCAGTAAAAGTCTAATAACCACTCAAATATTATTCCCTAAGAAGTAAGTTTGAAGTAGCTCTTGAGAGTGTATTTCATTATTAAATATGCTAAACATGTCAAAAGATTTAAGCAAACAAGATTGTTGATAAAAGATGCTAAGTAACAAATAACCAGTTTTCAGTTAGTAACAAACATCTCATCATAAAGTCACCCCATATTAAAAGAAGACACTGTTCTACTGGTGTCAAAAAAGAAACTGAAAACTGGTCCAAGTTTCATCAATCACATGTCAGAAAAAAAAAAGAACTGGCTAAAGCAAAAGAAATTGAGACAGTAACTCTTTGACTTACTCTTGAAAAAAAATGTATCTGAATATGGCTGGTACTCTTCCTCAGTAGAAAGAAACCAATGGATGCTATAAGTTGAATTAACAAGGTGATGGAACATTAACCATCAAATTACAGTCACAGCATATGCTATGAAATATAATGTTCAATGTTCTAGCTGAGAAGTTTGTAGAACATCAATTATGGTAAACCAATTAAGTGGTATGGCCTTATTTTCTGATGACATTTAGGACAGATGAACAGCTATCAAACCTGATGATAATAGGGGGTTGTCATGTACAGCTGTCCATAACAAGCAGTGGAGAAAATCTGCACATTCAGAGTGGTTCTTCCAGAGATGCATACAAAACCACTCACTGGTAGCTTGATAAAGTACCCATGAAGCAGAAATGTCAATCCAGATGAAGTTATGGAATAATAGTTGACTTATGAAGATTGCATAAGACTATGTTACCACGAGACTACATGGCAACAATGGTATTTACATGGTATTGATGCAACTTGGTTTACTTAACCATAAAACAAATCATATTTATATGTTTAACATCCAGGCAAAGGCCATAAACACAAAACAGCTATATCTAACAGATAATATCCTGGTTGGATATTGACTATCCAGAAAAAAATCAAGGTGAAGATTACAGGAAGATATGGAGGAAGTAATGATCAAAATGACTTACTGAGAAATTAATCCTGACCACTAAGGATGAATTAATGGTCAAACTTGGAGGTGTATTGGAGGAGCCAATTAATGTCTACCACTGGTTAAAAATTATGAGAAAATTTGGAAGATGAGACATAGTAAATTATCTTAGAGTGAGTAGCCACTCACAAGCAACCACTATAATACATTTTACACTACTTGTCAGTAAGTTAACCACATATAACCAATAATAATAATAATTGTATATGCAAAATAGATTGATCATTTGATTTCTGAAGCAAATGTTTGGTTAGTCTACAAATTAAGAAAATACTAAATAAGAACAAGTATCATGGTGTGTACAAGTAAAGAGGACCATTGTTATAAGAATCCATTTCTTTGACCAATTGTCCAAAGACATCTGTCATCAGTATCCACCAAAAGTATGATAACAACTATGGTCTCCAGTTGTTGTTAACTAACTGAGAGAAAATGTAATTGGTCAGGATTTCATCAACAACAGTTAGGATTAGGCTATTTTGGATCATAATTTGTGTGAAGGGCATTAGAAAACTGTGATATAACAGTCCAGAGATAATCCAAAAACCTCTTATCTCAATTACAGATAAGAAAGCATCATAGATAAGTTATAACAGAAAACTTGGAAAGTTCCTTTGTACGAGAAAATGTTCAAATACATTTTTGTGTATCATCTTCAGGTCCCCCGTTTTATAGACACTGTTGTGTTTTCATTTTAAAGGGCCTCCATTAGGGAAAATTCTTATATGTTATTATCTTGAGTGTTTGAGTTCCTGATTGGTTGGTAGATTTTGTGAACATAGCTTGTGATTCACTGATTTTTGATTAGTTTAAATTATATATTGCTCACCTCTGTTCTTGAGTCTCTTGAGTGTAGGGATTCTCACTTAATGTGTATTTTGTATTGTTTTCTTGTTAGCTATCTTTATTTTGTGCCATTCTATGCTGTGATCTGTGTACAAAAGGTATTCGGTAATGGCAGAAAAGTTGGGCTTCATTACTCATTTTATTTTTCTGTTTTTTTTTTCTATATAAGATAATCCACATTAACATTTTGTTTTATGTATATATAATGACTTTGGATGTTAAACAGTCTAGAGGTTGTTTAAATTAACATTTTGTTTTATATGTATAATGACTTTGGATGTTAAACAGTATAGAGGTTGTTTAAATTAACATTTTGTTTTATGTATATATAATGACTTTGGATGTTAAACAGTCTAGAGGTTGTTTAAACTAACATTTTGTTTTATGTATATATAATGACTTTGGATGTTAAACAGTCTAGAGGTTGTTTAAATTAACATTTTTGTTTTATATATATATATAATGACTTTGGATGTTAAACAGTCTAGAGGTTGTTTAAATTAACATTTTGTTTTATGTATATATAATGACTTTGGATGTTAAACAGTCTAGAGGTTGTTTAAATTAACATTTTGTTTTATATATATATAATGACTTTGGATGTTAAACAGAACTGGCTCCTGCTGTTCTGTATGTGTGGGCATCCTCTGAGGAGATCTTGTTTTTCAGCATATGATTTATAATCCTGTTAACTTGTCTTATATTGGTGGTTTCAGTCAGGTCTTGCAGTTTCTTATAATAGTCCTTTTTGTCTAATATAATCCTGTTAACTTGTCTTATATTGGTGGTTTCAGTCAGGTCTTGCAGTTTCTTATAATAGTCCTTTTTGTCTAATATAATCCTGTTAACTTGTCTTATATTGGTGGTTTCAGTCAGGTCTTGCAGTTTCTTATAATAGTCCTTTTTGTCTAATATAATCCTGTTAACCTGTCTTATATTGGTGGTTTCAGTCAGGTTTTGCAGTTTTTTATAATAGTCCTTTTTGTCTAATACAACAACAGAACTTCCTTTATAATCCAGAAGAACGACATGTAATTCTTCAGGAGTTTTAAAGCCTTCTGAATTTATATCATTACTGAGTTACCCGGAACATCATAACATTTGGAAGCCTTATTGTTCAAGATTGTTTTTCTGGAAAGCTTTATGCAGCTTTTCTCTACCAGCAGCAAATACTGAGAAAGGTATGATTTCTGGAGTGACAATAAAGTTCAGACCAAGATACAATAAACTGGTGATGACTAAGAATCCTTGAACTTTGGCTGACTACAGTGATGTGGTGGTGTTTACGGAAGCCTTTCTGGGTCACTCAAAAAAACTTGTTAAATTTTCTTGTTTTTCTGTTCTATGTTTTCCTTTGATCTTTCATAGTGTTAGGAAAATATTTTTTGTGTAACTTTTATATCAGAACAGCTGTTTTATATGTTTCACAACAATAATATTTTTTGTTTCACCATGTTTACACAAAATCTGCTATGATACAATGCTTATGTCATATAGCATTCATATTGTCTTCTATTGCATGAACATTGAATATAGGCACATACGACAAAATATCCAATCTCTATGACGAAATATAATATTCTAAATGTAATATACATGAAAACAATTCATATATATATATATATGTTTTACTGTGTTAATAAACAATTAAAATAGAATAATTGTTATTAACAGTAACTTTGGTGAAGAGACTCAAATATTAATATGATTGATACCTACTAATACTTATCTAATCCCTGTTGTAAGGCTTCCCACAAATGCTGCTGACTTTGGGAGGTTACATCAAGGAACTTATTCCAGTAGATGGCATCATATGTAAAGCCCAATGGATTAGAAACTGACTTTTTGGGAGCTGAATGAAGATTACTAAAAAATAGTTTTTTGAACCAACAGAAATAAAGCTAAAATCTTAGGACAACATACATACATAGTTACAATTCAAAGTATTACAGGAGTGTTATAATTTTCCTATAATGAAAATGTTTTCCTGATAAGTAATTCCCCCCTTTCGCAAGATTAGCTATTCCCATTCAGGGTTGCCCTCTATATGCGAGCTTTTTTTTTAATGCATGCCACAAACTTTCTGCTCCCCCCTATTGGAATCTAGTGATTCCAACATGTCTCTCATGCAAGTCATCATTCATCACTTCTCCATCAATGGAGTATGACATAGTCATGTAACTCCCTCTATACTCTTCCACCAAACTAACACTTCAAGTTTGGTAAAAGATGGAAGCACCAGTTTTCAGTGGGGAGGAAGGGTGGGAAGTGTGAGCGGAGGGAATTACCTATTGGAAATACATTTTCAGTATAGGAAAATTATAATTTCTGATCCAGTAATTCCCTCTGCTCATAAGATTAGCTAGAATCCCACATTGAATAGGAGGTTGGACCAGTGCGAGGGAAGAACAGACGTACCCTTCAAAAGCATTTGAAGGAAACCGCTGGAAATGAGAGAATCAGACCCAAATATCTGATGAGGGGAACCCTCACCACTTCTGAACCAGGTATACTCTTCGTCCATACATGAAATACATGTGAGATGGATGTAGAGGAGCACATCCAAGTGGGAAAGAACTCTGGCTGGATAGTGAGCTGAATCATATGATATAGAGGTCAATCAAAAGTGGGTAAACAATGAATTTACCCCTAGATGTAGAGCAGTTAGGGCATGATGAACTGTATGGGTATGTCAACTATGTCCAAAACCCTCACCACTGGGAACAGACAGCCATACAGGTGTAGGATGAGGATCATACCGCCTTCACTTTAACTTTGAGAGATCGGAGGGAATCAATAACCACTCCAACACCTGAACACGGCACATGTAGTAGCATCTGATAGATTGACCTGGGAACCCAACATCCAGTATCCAAAGGATGTCTATATAAAAGAACTCAACTCCCACAACAGTGAAATGAACCGGAACCATTCCCAAAACCAGAACATCTTAGGATAAGATATGTCGAGGGATGCCAAAGGAACAGACCCGAAACAAAACCACCTTCCTCAGCTGTGACCCACAACACAGAGTTTGATCGAGGGAGGATGTGTGAGGACTTATGTTGATTGGTTCACTCTAAATCCAACACTAGGTCACAGGGTACTGACATCCATGCGGCGGTAGGATGAGGGCTCCCAAATGAAAGGGTGAACAGCATTTTTGACAGCTCAACTCTAGTGGTTGAGTAAATGGTATCAGGAGCCCATATCATCCAGCAAGGTGGTGGCTCAACTTCTATGGAGGCCACATCTCATCTACATCAGCAGAACACCACCACCCCACTTTCAACTGAATGGTTTTAGCCATCTTTTTGTAGAACCCATTTAGGTGTCTTCAAGGTCAACCACCCCAGCAGCTTGGAAATGGAAAGTGCTAAGGACTCCCACACTCCACTAGAAGAAAAGAGGGTGAATACATAGTGGAGAGTCTGGAAGAACGTCACCACTGGAGACAGTGCAATGGGTGACCATGAAACCCTATATTGAAAAGCATACCATACCAATTTATTCAATCAAGGCATGACAGGGATAGGCAACTATCCTCTTGTGCTTTACCCCCCACATTTCATGAGTGATGTGGTCAAGAATGGGCATGTTAATGAAGCAAAAACACTGTGAGATTATTCACCTTCAGGCAATTTTGTGGAACACCCCATCTCACCAGTAAGCATTGCAAAGCCATGAAAGAGAGTGTAATTCAACATGGCTGTACAGTACAGATTTCAAGTGAAGGATATCTGGTTAGGCATTGCTCCCAATGAAGCAGGATCCAAATAATGAATAATGAAGCAAGGGCCCCTGAAAGGAAAGAAATAATGAATAGAAACTTACCCAGTTAGAGTCACACCAAAGTATGAAAAATGGTCACAGGTGGTAGATGAAAACTCAACGACGAAGAAACCATGATATGGTGTAGTCCTCATGCCCAAGTGTAAGAGTTCCCCCAATGGCCAATTAAGACGAGATGCTAGGGAAAAGGTAAGGATGTCAAATCTGATGAGAAGACACCTGAAACAAAGTCTGGGAGGAAGATGACAAAGGGGCGTAAGCCAATGGGATCAAAAGCCAAACACAATTGGTGAGGGTGGAAGCAGAAAGATCTTGACTTGAAGAAAACTGCCTAGAAATAAAAAGACAGGAGTGGGCACCACGAAAAGAAGCCATATGGGCAATAGAACAATGAAGAGCACAGACCGTACATAGGAGGATAAAGATGGGAAATGGAAAGGAAGGGAATTAGGAAAAAGGAGGAGTTACCTCCCCTAGCCATCCATGTCTTGGGTAGGAAGCAAAGATATGGATAAAGGAGTGGGGAAATGTACAAGAGACATCAAGGGAAACAAATCCAATCTACGATGTACACATGAATAGAGGAGAAGGAATTATGTTTGATGGGAAGTTGAAACATGGAACACGAAGAAAGTGATGCAAACAAAGGTAAAGTGAGGGAATAAAGGATCACATCAATATCCCAGGTTGGAATGGTAGGTATTCAAGAAAAAAAATGAAGGTATGGGATGAGGCTGCCTGAAAACCCAAGATTGAGGAAACAGAAGATCCACAGTTGAAAAACCAGGGAAGAAACTCTGCCACCTGAGACACGGGTTCAATCTGTGGGAAATCTCTGACTCGTAGATTAACTGCAGAGCATTTTCCATTTATGCCAATAAACATCCACTAAAGAAGAGCAAATGGAACAAGCTGAAAGAAAGCTACCTACAGGTATAAACACGATCTCCCTGCCGAGGACTGAATAAGAACCAAGCATGAAGGTGAATGTCCAGAAAGAGTACCGGTAAACAAAGAAGGGCAGGAGACAAAGGAAGAGGCAGTGGAGGTAAAAACTTGGAGCTGGCCATTAAAGAGCAATCAGAATGACCCAACACAGAATGGTAGGGATGAGGGAAGTCACCCACAGAACTAAAAGGATGGGGAGATGAACATACAGGAACCTGTGGGACCAATCCCACCTGAAGGCATTAACAGCCATAGCTAGGGGAGGAGGTACCAGATATCAAATAGAAGTAATGGGTGGTTATGAGATGAAGTAAAGGGATCTATGTGGGGAGAATCCCATGGAAGACAAAGCCACTGGAAAACAAGAGAATCGAGAGACTACTCTGATAGATAGAATGTGTTGGGAGAAGAAAAACAAACTGGAATCTGAGCGAGAGCACCCAGAATATTACATTTAGGAATGTGAATATTGTGCATGGGGGCCCCAAAGAGCAGATATAATAAGTGAAAAGAGAGGAAGTGTGAACAGGTGCCACCCATAGGAGCAACATCCCAAAAAGGGGACAAGAGAAGAAATCGAACACACTATAAAACTCTATTTATAATAGAAAGGAAAACAAACAGTAGTGTCACACCCGATAATAACTCAAAAACAAAGAAGCCATGTGAGGTGAGAATGAACTGAAGATGGCAAAAACCCCAACATGGAGGGAAGAAAGAAGAGGTATCCTTCGACAAACCTGAAATGTAAACAGAACACCGAATAAAGGGAAACATGAAACATTAAAAGTATGAGAAATGATAGGGGAAAAAAGAATGACAAATCCTGGAAGAAATCTGCTTGAAGTTATACAAAGTTAAAATTGAAAGTACATAGAAGGTAAGGCTTGTAAGTACCCAAACTCCAAAAAGACAAAAGGAACAGTACAGAAAACGTGAAGATAATATTCTGCAAATCGTGTCTGAAAATGTGTAAAGTAGGTCTAGCAGATACTGCAACAGAAATATGGAAGGCATTCCATGATAAGGTCAGGGAGAACTGACAATTTTAGGGCATTGGAAAATGGGTTCAGCCATTAGATGAGGAAGGTGAGCAATAGTGGAAGCAGATACAGCAGACCCCAGCTCCCAGGGACCAACACATGAATTTAAATTACTAGTATTAAGGATAAATTAATAGATTATAAACGAAAGTAACTGTAAAAAAATATAAACTATAAAGAAAAACAAAACGAAATAGTCAACATAGTGAAAAACGGGAATAAAATAGTGTAGGGAATGCATCCATTATGATTTGAATTGAAGAAACATCTGGAACCGTGGGAGATATGAACCTGTCCATAAAACCAATAAATAATGAATGGTAAGGATAAATTATAAACTAAATGAAATGAGTGGTAATAATCATAAAGAATCAGTAAAAGGATAAACTATAAAGAAAAAATTAATTAGTTAACATATTAAAATGGGAAGAAAACATTGTAGGGAATGAATCCTGTATGATGTAGTGGTGAAGAAAAACTGGAACATGAGTAGATATTAACCCGTCAGTAAAACCATGGGTAAACCGATAAATGATACAGTAATGACGCCAAATCAAACAAGATAGTGAACAGAAATAATAAGGAAATCTAAACTAGAACTACAGTGAAATAGAAAAGAACGAAAACTAGTTAAGCCTAATCGAACAGTACAAAACAAAGGATAACCTAAGAATGTAAAGGAAACTGAACAATAAATAGGCACAATACTGGGAGACATCTATGTGGGCCCAAATTCACGGGTTATTAACGACCACGAAGCAAGGTTCGACCATAGTCCAGACATTAGACAATCAAGCTATTGATGAAATAAAGCGGAAACTGTCTGTGGAGTAACGTGAATGAAATCCATTATAAACGTGTGAAAAGAACATAGAATCTCTGTATTGGGAATGGAGACTACATAATGGAAATGAAGAACCAAACACTTGAAATCCGGTGGTAGAAAAAGGCTATCAAGATCTCCGTCCACCCGAACAAGGTCGGCTTCTATAGGAGGAATTGTGGGCTAGAATCAAAGAAAAGGGTCAACCTTTTTAGCCTTCATTTTTCTCGAGAATAAACACTGATAAAAACACACCAGGTCGCTTGCACTTGCGGCCTCTGAGTTAACGCTAGTCGTAGGCTTGACCCACTAAGTGGTAACATTAGCTCCGGAATGTGACTGGAATAAGCTGGGATAAATGAAGGCAAATTTCAAACTCCAAAGAATCTAAAGGTTATAATAAGTGAAGACCACTTCGTGAGTATACTATATACAAACATGAAACTGTAAAGACTGACAAACATCCAAATACAAGTGCTGCTAAATGAGAAGTGATAGTTAGATGAAAGAGTATTGAGAGATTCACATGCACTATGTGACTACGTTGTCGCACTACATTGATGGAGAAGTGACACTTGATGATTTGTATGAGAGACATGTTGGAATCACTACATTCCAATAGGAGGGGGAGCAGAGGAATTGTGGCATGTGTTAAAAAAGTTCACATAGAGAGGGCAGCACTGAATGGAATAGCTAATCTTGTGAAAGGAGATACCAGATCAGAATGAATGTTTGCATAATTATTAAACAGCACTTTTAGTAGTTCTAATAAAATAAAATTACAATGATACGAAACTCTACTCTTTTCATCATCCAGCAGTTACAACATTAACCATGGTGGAAGAAGAACAGTTCCTTATATCTCTTTTAGTAGCTACAACATTAAGTTAACCATGGTACTAACTACAGTAATCTTAGCTACAACATTAAGTTAACCATGATAAGACAACAGTAACCTTACGTGTGTTTTAGTAGCTACAACATTAAGTTAACCATGATAATGACAACAGTAACCTTACATGTGTTTTAGTAGCTACAATATTAAGTTAACCATGGTACTAACTACAGTAATCTTAGCTACAACATTAAGTTAACCATGATAATGACAACAGTAACCTTACATGTGTTTTAGTAGCTACAACATTAAGTTAAACATGGTACTAGCAATAGTAACCTTACATGTGTTTTAGTAGCTATAACATTAACTTGTCTAAATTCCTTATTTCACAGTCCTTACCTTCTTGACCAAAAATCAGCCATATAGTTTCTAACAGCCAGAAGAACATCCTGTGTTTTCAAGTTTTTGAAATATTTCTTTTTACTTGTTGCTTGAGTCAAAACACTAAAGTGAGAAACAAGGCTAAAAACATCATCTTCAGTTTCTATTCCCAGCACCTAAATAGAAGATACATAAATACTCTATTATCTTAGAAACAAAAACTGTCAGGGTGTTTGTATTTATATATAGGAGATGTCCAATAAAGTTGCTGTTTAAAAGGCCAAGTTTCAGAAACACATTTTTACAAATCACAAAGATAAACTGTAATCTCTGCTTAGAACTTTGGAAGAATTTGTTATTAATGTATTTCTATACATAATATGTAGGGGATATAAGCTTGAAGTTTTTTAACCAATTAGAGCATGAAACCAAAACGTTACTTATATCCTGAAATTTCTACATTGATTATATTATCAAGTTACTTACACAGGTCAGAAGTTAAAAATGAAGATAATAAACAGTGTAGCTAATTTAACACCATAATTTTACTAAGAGTGTTCAGTGTCATAAAAAACAAAACAAAAAAAATACTTGTAACTATTAGAATTCAATGATTGAACAGTTAGGCACCTTCACTGGTGTGAATATTTTGAGATTATAACTGGAAATATTCACACCAGTGAAGGTG